CAAGTACCCGCTCTGCAAATAGTGGCTGACCGCAGTAAAGATCCCTGCATTCAGCTAACTTTTCCTCTCAACTATTAATACTGCTTCTATAAATTCCCAGCACTAGCTCATATAGAACCAATATTTCATGCTTTTCTTAGCTGTTACCTGCAAGAGTCAAAGAGCTGCATGTCTTGATTTTATGAACTTCAGTGAAAGTGACAGAACATGTAGAAAAACCTTGAAGAGAGGAAAGAAAGTATCTGGACTACAGTAATGGAAATAAACTGAAATTTGTGGCAGTGGGTTAGGTAATCAACAGAGGTCTTCAGTATTATACCCTTGCCTTTTTTTAATGTATAGTGTCTCACGAGCAGTATAGCATAGCTATCTTTGGGGAGGTATAAGAAGAGTAGCATTGCGAGCATCGAATAGATAGATATAGAAACAGTAAAAAATGACCCAAGAAGTCACCAGAGAAAGATGAGAAACCCCAAACACAGACACACAGTGAGCTAGTGATGCTTTGACTGTCAAATCTGCTAAAAGACATTTCTAAATGTCTAACAAGATACATAACAGATGAATCAAATATCATATGAGCAGCTCAATAATTTACTAACACAGAAGTTGAAACAGGGTTTAAAATAAAAAGAAAAAAAACCAATACAAGTGGTGTTAACATCTACTTCGGCAATAATCTTGAACCATTGCTCGTAATGAGCCTATAATTGTCATTTAATTGTGCTGTGGTCTGAGCAGCCATAAAGCCTGGAAGGGCCTCACAAAGGGTACAGAGATTAGCCTTATTGTGGGGAGCATAATCCACTTTCATCCCTTTAATAGGATCACATTATTTCTTGATTTGTTTTTAATGAAAGATGTGACACTTTGGCTCTGGGGTGCTAACTACTGTTCTTTAGAGGCAGCAAAGGAACAGGCAGCTGTTGGCCACAAACAGGATCCCCTTCTAAAGCCTGACAAGAGCCACATTGTGAAATCAGGCAGAGTACAGATAAGGTTTTCCTAAAAGAGCTATCTCCATATACCAACATACACATCTCACGATTACTAAATACAATACTACTTCAGAGAAAAAAGAGATTACCAATATGTGATGATATATTAGAAGAAGAAGATATATAGAAGATATATTTTTTCCTGAAAAAAACAGAATCTGTCTTCTTTTATTTTACATTTTTAGTAGCCTTGCCTAGTGCTCATCCCAACAGGTCAAAAACTGAAGGCCCCTGAAAACTGAAGCAGGTCCCTGAAAACCAGCCCTGAAAAAAAAAAAAAAAAAAAAAAAATCTAACATGCATGAAGGTCTCCAAACTCGGGGATGGCAAGAGCTTTCATTCCACGTAGGCAAAGTTGAAGATACTCAATAGGTAAAACTGATTCCAACATTTCAGGGTAGGCTCATACTTCAAATGCCAGCCTGACACTGAACTGCAGTCACTGTACCTGCTTGTTAGAATTCATCCTAGGGTCAAGTTAATGTTTGAAAAGAAACTAACACACCTGATAGGAGATGGTAAACAGTGATGGTTTCTGTTTGGGATCATGCCTGCTGCTATTTGCCTTTTACGGGGATTAAGAGCAGTCCTCCCTCCTGTGGGATCGCACCAGTTTCGGAGGACTATGGACCAGAAACCAGTGCCCATGACATAAGGGCAGCGATCACTTTGGCCTTGGGATTCTGCAAGATGCTTTCTAAGTAAAGCATTGAGCTGAGAGAACCGAAAGGCAATTTAAAAGCAAGTGTATGAGAACGCCAGCTTTGACAGTTCTCCTTACCAAACTGGTTTGGCTTGATTTGGCACAGATCACCTAATCGGAGAGCAAAAAAGAGACCAGACCATAATCACAAGATCTCTCTGCACCTGTGCACCTTGCACTGAGGTGGCAAGGAGGCAAACAAATATCTTCCTAAACAAAACACAAACTGCTTGTCATAGACACAGTCTTCATTCTTCCCTTGCGAGGAAGACCGCAATAAACTTTGCTTGTACCGGGCTGGTAACTTAAGCTGGGTAAGTAAGGAGAAGCCGTACACCTGATTTAAATACTCCCTTCCTATTCCTGATTTATTCAAATAAGCATCTTAGAAAAACACCACGTAAATTCTAGGAAGCTACAATATTAACTAATTAACTAAGGCAACATAAGCTTTACACAAGATCTGCTGCCACTGCTCCTATACTCCAGTGCATAAGCTCTACACTCTTTAACTAAGCAATTATAAAACCATGTTTATTAACTCTGCAGGAGCTAATAGTCAAATTGACCAGGGCTTAGGCATAAAGGTGAGATGGAAACAGTCATAAAAGCACTAGGTTTTAACTAAAATAATGTTTTTTTCACATGTTTGACACTTTGAAAAGTTACTCAAATAAGTGATAGTAGATTCTTCTTCTCTTTCTTCCCCCACAAATCAGTCAATAATAATGGCTTTTTTTTTTTTCCAATTATGATACCAAACAAGCTAGTCATGGCTAAAAGAAAAGAAAACTTTGTTAAAGTTCTTTACTTTTCCTTACTCTTTCTCACACGATAAAGGATGGATCAAGAAATCCCAAGTGAACAGCACTAAATACTGTTATTCTAACTAGGCAAATTCATATAGGTTCCCCATTTTTGTACTGCATAAGAACCTATTCAAGCTAAAAAAGCAAGAAAAAATATTGTATTTGGACCTGTAAACCTATAAACCTTAGTTTAATGGTAGAGCATGTGCATAACTTATTCAACCTTTGTTTCACATCTTAGTCCCTGGTCTTCTGCTAACTGCAAGGCCAGAACAGTTATTTTCCCCGTTCATGCTCACAGATGACTGACTTATTTATAGTAAATTTCCTGTTTTTCCAACCTTGTAAATGTCATACAAAGTAGACAAGCCTATAAAACTTATACGTTTCCAGGCTAAGATTTCCACAGCACTTCAGCACCAGTTCATTAGGCTCTAAGAACTGGAAGAGACCGTATGGTTAAAGTTATGTTTACAAGCCCATCTTCTCATCCCTTTGCTGTCTGCTCTACTACCACACACCTGCCGCTGAATGATAATTGTCATCCCTCTAATGAGATTTTTAATCAACACAGACGTAATGCATTTTAATTAAAACACTCTCCTCTCCTACACACGCGATCCTGATCCACGAGGGAGCTCCTTGCTCTGCGCAGGACACCACACAGATGCCAGGCTATCATTAAGAGAGGCACGAGGAATGGCTTTGTAAACCACAAAAATATTCAGTAATTAACAAAAGAAAAAGCCCTATTCTATATTCCATTCTCATAACAAGTTAAAAAAAAAAAAAAAAAAAACAGGAAAATATGATCTCATAGTAGCCAGGGGCTTGGTTCTCACTCCTACAGGAGGAAGGTCCAAGGTTCAAGTTCCTGCCCTGGCTCCATAAAGGGCTTTTAACCTTCTTCTCCCGAGTCCCAGGTGAACCCAACTACTATGAGAAAAAAACCCAACTCTGACTCATTCTGACCAGAGACTTCATCCTGGAGCTGAGACACATTCACCCTTAAATTCAGTCATTTTCAGCTGTATTCCCACAAGTTTTGAGCTAACTACCATTTTCAACAACAAAGTTGCAGCACAAATCGCTCATCTCTCACCCACCTTTCTTCTCCCACAACACTGATCCCTTTGTAGCATCCTTTGCGTGCTAAAACTTCTGCTAAAGCAATCAGCATGCAAAAGACCTGCCTAATTTCCTCATGCTTTTCTATATTTTACTCCCTCCCTCCCCTCCTGGGCAATGAAAATCAGCAGATTTTCATCCGTTTCACTCCCTGCTTTCCAGCGAAGCAGAGAAAATGCAGCAGGGAAAACAGGCATTTGATTAAAGCAAGCTATTTTCCTTGGACTTCAGCACAGCTTGCTGGAGTAATTCTAGCGACTGAGGGTTTCCACGTTAATAAGAAGTAGTGTCGTTTGGATACGTGAGACTCGGGGCAATTTGGAGCTGCTGGCACCCCTGGGAGAAGGGAGCGGATGACAGAGCCGGACACCAGTGCGGTGATTGACTCCAACGGGGGAGCTCCTGCGACGGGAAACAAGTGTCTCCGGAGCGGCTCCTAACTCAGGATAGCGGACAAGGCTCCCAGGGACCGTCCTGCCAACCTGCCCAAAAGCCAAGCAACAGAGTTAAAACAGCCCTTTAACGTTTGCGTCTCCAGCGAGCGGCCGGGATGGAAACACGCGGGTAGACCATCATCTCCCTGGGAAACCCCCGTCGCCGGGGACGCGGACGTGTCCACACAACCACAGCCTCCCTGCACGCTCTCCCGCAGGATCCCAAAGGAAATTTCCCGCGCTTCCTGCAGCTCCGCTGACCCGGGGGCGCGCGGCTCCGCCACCCGCACCTACAGGTGTTGCGGCACATTCCTGTTTATCCTGCCCGGCCAAATCACCTTCGCAGCTGTCGCAACACGAACAGTTTCCTGGCACCCTCCGAGTCCTGCCCTGGAAAGTACGGAGCCACGAGCCAGGCCTGCTGCGCCAACCTGCTCCGCACCGCTGGGCGCTGGAAGCAGCAGGGTTTTTGGGAGGGATTTTTGTTCGTTTTCTCTACAGCCCCACACGGGATGATTCTTCCCAGCTTTTCCCGCAGCTCCGCACACCGCTCCCGCCACCTCTGCACAGGCTCCGTATCCCGAACCCCCTTCCCCGCCTTGGGGACATCCCTGCGAGTCCCCCCGCCCTCCCCCAAAACTTCCAAGTGCGGAAAGTCTCCTGCGGGCTCGTTCCGCGCTGTAACGTGGCTATGCATACCAGCACATATACATGCATGCATATATATAATAAGAGTACACAGATACAGTATACACGCCCTCCTCGAGGCGCGCAGCACCCAGGGGTGCCCCGCTGGCGGCCGCGCTGATGCCGCGGTGCCCAAAACTTCGCGCGCAGGAGCCAAGTTGCCCGCGGCGCAGCGCGGAGCGAGCCGAACCGAACCGACCCCCCCCCACCACCACCACTCCGCATCCCCGAGCCCTCGCACCTTGTCTGACGGCCTTGACGGCGATGGGGTCCTTGCAGGCGCGGATCACCTCGAGCACGTCGTAGCGCGGCAGGCCGGACACGCGCACGCCCTGCACCTCGAGCAGCAGCTCGCCCTCGCTCAGCGCCGCCTCGCCGGCCCCCGGCGCCGCCGCGCCCGCGTACGGGAACTCGCCGTGCTCGGC